GCTATTAATTTTCATATTGGGTTTATAATAGATAAATCACAAGGACTAAAGTTATTTTTCGAAACGTTCAAAAACAATAGACTCTCTAAGACTATTCAGTCGACGAAAATACTTTTTTTTTGCATTTAGCAAAACCGAAAATAAATAGACAGAAATGTATAGAGTTGCATGTTCTGTATTTCTATTCTATTGAAAGTGAGATCTAAAGGGATGGCAGATATACGATCTTATCCAGCAGCGTTCTTTACCAAGAAATGAAATGATAATAATTGCATATGTTTCGAGTTAAATAAAAATAGAGACAGATTTGTATTCATCAGATTAGTTATAAAAAAGGAGAAGTTTATATGGCACCAAAAATTAATTATCTTATCGAGACAAGATTCTTTCATTGCCTTGGATTCATATCGTCGACATATATGTAATCAGCACGACAACGCAATTTGATAGCTGAGAGTAATCAACTGAATTAAAAGAACGAAGAAAAAAACGCATGCCTTTATATATGAATATCTATTTTTATTTGAAGTATTTCTTCCTACGCAATATATTCGTATTAGTACTTATCTTTACGAAATGCCCAAAGAGTAATTGACATCATCCAATTAATACATTAATAGTGAAACACAGTATATAATCTTTGATAGAAATCTAGCATTGCAAAAGACGTCAAAAAAAAACATTCCCAATTTTTCTTAAATATTTGCGTGAAATACTTACACACGTATTTGAAGAGTATGTACATGACTCAATTATTTCACTCACTTTGTTATTTTAGAAAAGTGAGAACGTGTTAAATTTTATGACGTTATTTGATGGGAAAGTAAAGTAAAGCCTTTAAATCTATGAATTCAACGGTCAGTATCATCCTTGGAAAATATATATTAGTTTTGCAAGTAACGTTATTTTGTTGTCTCTTAGACATGTTCTCAAATATAAATTGATGATTATTCGTAAAAATGAGAATGAAAGCTAGTTATCACTATTACAATTTTTTCTCAATACATTTATTCTCGTATAGAAAGGATATTTGTTTAATTCATTTGGAAGTTTTAAATAAGGAAATAAAAAACAATCTATCTTTTCTTTGGTATAAAATAAATAATGAACATATAAAAATAAACGAGCTTTCATATCAATTAAATAGACAATTGAAAAATACACAGAAGAATTCATTAATAATAAAAAATAAAACTCTTGTTCAAAAGTATAAATTTGATTCCAAAAAATATTTTTAGAAGGTGATGAGTACGCTAGGCCTTCTAAAATTTTGCATTATTTGCAACAAAACTAAAAACTTATTTTGTTTTCTATCAATTAGTATGTACGTATTTTCATAGGTGATCATTCAACTATTATGAACAATACAGTTATGATGAACTGATGGTGAATTCTCGGGCAGCATTATTTTGCAAATCCATAGCGTTTAGTAGGTACGTCTTGAATGTCAAGTTCCGTTGAAAGATTTTTTAGCTAAGGTTCCTTTTGTTCAGTTGTCTGATGAATTATCGTATTAATATCCAATAATGTGCATAATCTATAAATGTTTAGAACACTGTACAATGAGTCTTGACGGCAGATAGACTAAAATAATCGATGTTTGTTTGTTTGAGAAAATTGAATAAATAAGATTAAAATTGATACTAAACTTATAGATTAGACTGTAATTTAACAAAAAGCTTACGAAAGTTTTTATTGTACGTGTAGTCATTAATTAATACTAATACAAAAAACTATGAAGCCATTTTTATCGACATCAATGCTAATAACGTAAATCAGGTGTTAATATTAGAATTGGATATGGGATGGAATATGAGATTATTCAACCCTAAGCATCATATTCTTCTATGGACGGTCTCATTTGTAAATTACTTTGTTTCAAAATATATAGTCTTAACACATTAGTGTTAGAATTTTTAATAACTGTAACATTTGATGATTATTACCACTAAGTTCGTTGATTTCAATAATTTGTATATAGTGAAATACGACATTGAGCATTTGAAGGGTATGTATCAAAATGGTCGAAAGAAAATATAGCGAACGAAAGAATAGCGAAAAAAAAGGAGCGAAAAGAAAAATGTCGACATAAAAAAGGACGAAAAACAAATATCGAAAACAATCCTGACGAAAGAAAAAATGTCGATCATATAAAAATAGCGAAAATATATATTTGATAAAAAGGATCGAAAATATTCCAGATATCCCTAAAGGACATTAAATTCTTCAGTTCTGTACTAGTAGTATCTACTTGAAGATTCAGATCCAGATCGGTGGCTCGTAGTTCCCGCTAGGTCTACACCTTATCGGCATGTCTCAGACCGACATTGTCTTCTTCTAACTGACAATATACACCCGCGAGCCTATTTTTTGTTGGTACCTACCCACAAAAGTGTTCTTCACTAGATTTGATCACCGCCCGAGTTTCGATATTTTCGTTTTTTCCTGGAAAATCTCTGGTATTTCATTCGTCTTTTTGCTCAATACTTCTCAAAAAATCTCGCAACCTCTCATGGATTCGGTCAATATCACCGAAAATCTTTCAATCAAACCCCTGAGTGATCCAACTCACCCTGCCCCCAATCTTGCTTTCTCGGAGAATCACCTATTTGAGCATCTATTACATTTTTGTATGTAGTCAAATATCTTCATTTCGCCAGTCGAAAATGTGAAAATAAACTTTCTCGACATTCTCATATGATCCGTGTTCTACAGGGTGGCCCAAAAATAAGGAAAAATAATGGGTATCCGATAATAACTGATGAAAAACTGTTAATGATATTTTTCATACTTTTTATTGATGTAGAGAGCTGACATTTTCAGAAATAAAAGGTCTTAATTAGATATATATGTAATAAAAGTTTCAGCTCTCTACATCAATAAAAAGTATGAAAAATATCATTAACAGTTTTTCATCAGTTATTATCGGATACCCATTATTTTTCCTTACTTTTGGGCCACCCTGTATTTTCTTACTATAAATCTTTCGCCATTTTTTTCTGAGCTATTTTTTTTTGATCAATTTAATACCAATCATTTGAAGAATCATCTGACCATAAAATGTAGAATAAGAAAGCAATTCATAATAAGCGAAGAAAGACGAAAGGTTGTTATTTATGGTAGAAATAATTCTATTTTTATTATTTTTACAGCATACTTTGTTTATTGACATTATCTAACTTTATATCTTAATGATTAAAAGCTTCTTTCAGTCGTCTAACAAAATTAGGTTGTATTATGTTATATTTATTCTGTAATGTGAAGCAATGCCTTCAATATTGAGCAAGATCATTTTTTGTAAGTAAATAACTCACGGTTGGTAGCATTGGTTGGTTTTATTTTCCTCTTGAATGGGATTATTGTTAGCATACAAATTTTTCTTTCTCATACAGGAGAACGAAAAAAAAATTGAATCAATCATCTACATACGATATTATGATTAGTGGCAATAAATGAATCATATCGAGTAATACTTAGAATAATTTTTACACGACATTTATATTCCATCATTATAAGTAAATTCTTTTAATTTAGGCATTCTGTTCTAGATTCAGTCCGTTTACACGATATATATACATACCCTCTCCCGCATGCATCCTTTGTATTATGAGATCCAACCAACTAGTAAATAGGATGTATGTATCTCGTAAAAGAACTCAATTTTTAACATCTTAATTTTCGAATCTTTCGATGATCCTTAACATCTAATATAGATTACGTTAGGAAAAATGATTCATTACGATGAGCAGTAGTAGATTCCAAAGTGTTGTTCTTTTTCTTTTTCAGTTTTTTTTTGCTACAAAATTTTATTTACATGACATCATCTGTAATTATTGATGATATTATTATAATCATCATTAATAAACTACTTTTTACGGCGTCTGAACAACACTTGTGGATTGTTTTCTGGACATAGATTATAAACAATATGCTTTTTGTCTTTATGAAAAACCTATTGTATTCTTTTATCTTTGTCCCTTTTCTAGATCAAAATATTTCTTTGTATTACATTGTCCTTTTTTTGTTTTTTTTTTGTACTAATTTTATCACAGTTGCCGTTTTTAATTGCAGACGAACTTCCTCTATGCTCGAATGTATAGCGTCATCTATCCAATGACGATCCTCAAATATAATGTGTCATTTCCATTACATATTATTAGCTAATCGAACTTCCAATTATAAATGGAGAGAAAAAAACAAAAAAAAATAGAATTAATGAAAAAATGATTACTAATTGAGTCTTAGATAAATTAAATTCATATATTTTTTGCGTAAATTTTCTCTTTTTTTTTCAATAATATCTTGTTTACTAGCTTCTACAGGTGCGTTTCATCTGACAATATATGTGTACTTAAAAGCAACATTTATGTGTCGCTTTTCAGCAATGTTCTAAAAATTGAATTTCAGAGAAAATTTTGCTTATTAATCTATGTGACATTTTTTTAAAATTTATTTTGTTAATCTTCTCTTCAATTGATTTTAATGTAATCCTTGTCCCATGTTAATGCCGATGACAAACGCCTACCTACAGGTCTCTGTTGTTCTTTTTATGTTGTTTTTTTTCTTCTGAATTTTTTCACTGTTTTTTTTTCGTAATGATGACGTTGGGAAGAATTGGAAGACAGGTGTGTCAGCTGCTTAGGAAACAAACATGTATTATGCCAAGCAAAACAATACTTGAAAGAATAACGGCATCTGTGTGTTTTGCCTCTCTGACTCATAAAATGTACAATGACAAATAAAAGACGATGAGAATAAAAAGGATTGCTGGTATTTCATATATATGTTGTGAAAGAAAACGAAAAATCTTCATTGTTGCCACAAAGTATAAATTTTTACCGTTTTATTTGAGTACACGTGGTATGATGCAAATATTGATAAGAAGCATGTCGTAAATTGAAAAATCCCATTCACATTATGTCATTTTTTCTTTTCTTTATTAACTTTTAGATTGTCAGGCGATGAAACTTCATTAGATTCATTTGAAAAAAACTATAGATATGGTTTCGCTTGGTGAATGCCGATTTTTTCGTGCATTAACAATTGATGATATATCAAAAAAACCAAATTGCAATAATCTTAAATTTAAACGTGCTTTTCAATTTCTTCAATTCCTACTAATTCAACGTGTTTATGGAATCGATGTAATAACATATCCAGGAGTACGAAAACCTGCAAAAGATTCTCAACAAGAAGAAGAACAACAACAAAATTATCAAGTTTTTTTAGGTGGTTCATGTAATCCCACAACATGGCGACGCGATCAAGCTATACCCTATTTTCAATCACGTTCAGTTTCTTATTTTAATCCACAAGTAGCTGATTGGACGCCGGATCTTATTGAAATTGAGCATCGTGCAAAAGAATTAGCTCCACTTCTATTTTTTGTTATTGATCATGATACTCGAGCATTAGCATCTATTGTTGAAGTATGTTATCTAGCAGCTCGTGGAAGAAATATTATTGTTGTTATGAATCCAATGCCGGATAAAAATCATACAAAATTTGTTCAACAAAAAAATAGTATTCATGAAAAAGACGATGAGGATGATTATGAAAATGTTTGCGAAGCTCGACGAACACTACGTACATTACTTCGAAGTATGAGTATTCCAGTTTTTGATGATGTTCGGCTAGCTCTTGAATGTGCTGCATTTATACTTGAAACAACTAAACATGCAGTAGTAAATCGTAGGGCGTTTAATGAAGATAATAAAGAAGATAATGGTGAGAGAGGTAATTTACCGTTTCGTCTACATATAAACTTATATATATTTTTCTAAACATTTTCTAGATGTTCTTACGCCATTAACTATGTCACCGAGTGATGTCAACAATTCTCGGGCATCATCAGTTGTCGTTATTCGTTCTCTTTCCAACAAAATACCTTTTGAATCACCTGATGATTTCTATCGACAAATGCGTCAGTTAGAAGCACCATCAACTCCATCAAAACTTTTTCAGCGACGCATGAATTCCTCACCAGAATCAAGTATAATTTAATATTTATTACCTTTAAGTCTTGTAACTTTCTGTTTTTTTTTATTAATTTTTTTTCAGATCGTCATCAATTTCATCTAACATCTGTTTGTACAAAAACACAATTATCATGTTCAACAAATGAAAGTGATGATGATGGCTATAATTCACTTTCATCAAGTAATCCTGCTTTATCCATATCATCATCATCATTAACTTCAGAATTATTTGAACCTACTATAGATCAGCAACGTGAGGAAAATTGTTTAGGGTAAAATAATTCATAAATAAAATAGATTCATTATTGAAAATACTTTTAATTTTTTTAATTTTCAGATCGAATAATAAATCACCTTCTTCTATGATAAATAACTTTATATCAACTTTTTATTCTTATATTCCTTTTGTACGGTCTTCAACACAATCGGATCCATCTGTTTCACAATCAATTTTAGTTTTATTTACGCTTCCCTTTCGTTTTATCAAAAACACTCTTCTTTCGGCTACCCTACCTTCATCATCGAAAACAATATTCTTTCCAGCACAAGAACCAGCTGTTTTAGATCCACCTTTGCATATTTCTTCTCCTCCATTATCAAACTATATGTTTGATATATATATAGCTTCCGGTGAAAATGATGAATATTGGGTCAATGTAATGGTATTGCCAACACTTGAAAAAGCTAATCTTACTTTTACAAAACGACAATCTTATTATGATAATGATCAATCCGATGCTCTCTATGATATGCATATACGCAAACAATCACGTGTATTATACTATTTAATTAATGGTAGTGAGCGTTTATCCAATTTAGCTACTGAACTTGCATTTCTTGTTGGCGAACGTAAACATAAAATAATTGTTTATCTTCAAACAACTATTGATGAGGATACAGAACAAATATTATCAGCATGTGAACGACGTGATATTCAACGTTCGAGAAAATATCTCGAAGATTTAGCACGAAAAGAGAATATAACATTATTTCATTCACGTAAACAAAGTTGGCAACATGTTTTAGATTTTTTCGATGAACATGATTGATTTTCATAAGACTAGTCTGCCGTTTTTTTTTCTTTACTTCTGTCGTTGTGATTGTTATAATTCGTATTCTTACAACTATTGATGTTCGCGTACATAATAATGATCATTACATGGTTATTATGTATAAATTAAAAGATGAGTATTCAATTTGAATTATCGTATCATTGAATGCATCGATAATCAGAAGAACTAAAGTCTATCTTAGTCATGATTTGTGATCGTACAAAAGTACAGCAAAAAAAATTTTTTTTCCTTTTATGTGCATGTATTATGTTTCTTCTGCTGACTGTATTTTATTTTATTTTTTTTTTCTAGCAAAACTAAATGATTCCAAAAAAAAAAGTGTTCTCTTATATATCTATATGTGCAAGTGACAAATGTTACGTATTATAGTATTTTTGATTTCATATTTTCTTTTGTAGATTTGTTGTCACACGTCAGATAGGAGAAAGAAAAACAGAGTGCTAATAACAAAAAAACACGAAAGAAAAAAAATGTGTTTGTCAATAGTATGGTATGTACAGAAAAGAGAGTAATAATGATTTGTATATCTGATTAATATTCAGATAAACGATCAGAAACTATGGCATTTACTTTTGGTACACCTACTTCAATTGTTGATTCAGATGATTATGTTTCATCGATAACAACAATGTCTGATCGATCCGACGAACAGCAACAACAACATTTGACAATATCTGATCATGCATCACGTACTGTTTCAAAAATTGCATCCTATTTTCGACAAGGTTTTCTATGTGATGTTGTTTTTATTTGTGGTCATGGACAATTAAAACAAAGAATTGCAGCTCATCGTCTTGTTATTGCAACTTTATCTGATTATTTTCGAGCTATGTTTGAAAGTAATATGCTTGAAACTAAACAACGTGAAATTGTTATCAATGATGTTGATCCAGATGCACTCGAAAAACTTATATTATACGCATATGAAGGTAGATTTACTTGCAGAAAAGATTGTTTTTTTCTTTCGAAATTTTATTTAAACATCTATTAGGTCGTCTTGAAATTCATCAAGACAATGTTACAAATATTCTTTGTGCTGCACATATGTTTAATATTACTGAAATAATTGAAAGTTGTTGTAAATATATTGAAAAACAACTTCATCCATCTAATTGTCTTGGTATACATAAATTTGCCTTACAACATGATTTACATGAATTGACAAAAACTGCTTGGAATTATATTCTTGTAAATTTTTACATTTTTTTTAATGACGATTATTTTAATACTTGAGTTTTTGTTTTGAAAGGAACATTTCGCGAATGTAATTCAAAATAATCATGAATTTTTTGAATTATCTTTTGATGAATTTAAACAACTTTTGACATCCGGTAAGTTAATTTTCTATTTGGTGTCTATTTTGCTCTGTTTTCATTTGCATAATAAATACTCACAAATTAATTCACCATAGTTTTTCTGTGTTTGTGACATGGTATTGACCTTGAGTTTTTTTCTCATAGTATCTGTAAATAGTATTATTAGCACAGAAAAATGTAACCTTTGGGTTATTACATGTTCAAATATATATGCCAAGCATTACAAAATAACATATCAAAAATCTGAAAAAAATAAGTTTATTTAAATATACAAGTTTGAAATACTATTGCTTTGTTCTAATATATTTTTTTTTCTAAGACTAAAAGTGATAGCTTACATGATGGTGCCATGTCTCAATACTCAAGAAATTGCACCATCGATTATTTTGCACGTATCTCTGCATAAGTAAATAATCAAGTTTCTAATGCTTTTTTTATCAATGTACCGTTCAATTCTTTAATTAAAAGTGTCTATTAATTGGTTTTGGTGGTGTTCTAGACAAGGGTATAACTTATGAAGGAGAGGAAATGCGTGACGCTGCCCTGCTCCTGAGCTTTTTGTACGCATTGCATCTTTTTCTGACATACAGATATGCAGAGTAAACTTCTTTCATAATCTGTACTCTGACTGACAATGAAACGTCATCACTAGCAGACTAACAAACTTTCAATATGATTTATCCATGGCGCGCACTCAGCGAAATAATGGATTTTTCAGGTATTTACAGTATATAAAATATATCCACAAGTCAATGTTTTAACATGATTTATTTGTCTTTTGTTATGACGATTGGATAGAGTTCATCGAATTGCGTAGGAAATAGTGTGTTTCAAACTTAAAAATAAATTTGAAATGATTTCATAAAAGTCAAAATTGGTTGGTCTATTTTCATTATTTTTGAAGACTATGGCACCTTGAATCTTTCTCATTTATTTTTTCAAAAATTCTTTCTTAAGTTTGAAATACTTTTTCTAATGCCACTTGACGACCTCTATCTAACCATCATGAAAAAAGTCAAATAGATCATGTTAAAATGTTGACTTGTGGATATATTTCATATACTGAAAATACCAAAAAAAGTCCATTATATCGCTCAGTGCACGTCATGGGAAGCTCATATTTTAAATTCGTTAGTTTAGTGCATTGATAGCTTTAATTTGACTCGAATATATCTAATGTTTTTTTCTAACAGTATAAAATCCTATACTGTGAGAAGAAATTTTCTAATCCTTATTCTATCTTTCAGGGTAAGATAATCCTGCATATCTCTATTCTGAGTCTCAATTACTCTGTGCTCCCTAACTCTACTGCTGAATTATGTCCCTAGTTGTACGAGCCTTAAAGTAAATATTTGTCTCATAGCTCAATGTCCTACGATTTCGAGAATAATAAAAAGTTTTGAAACTATGTTGTAATAGTAAATTATACCATCGTGCAAGTCTTCAAAAGCCAAGAGTATTTTTCCTTCCTATTTTGTATGAAACTCAATGACGTATCTTTTGAAAAAAAATCAAACATAATGATTGCTTTGTGTAGTGGTATAAGCCAAACTCGCGATATAACAATCGTTTTGACTGCTCCAGTATCAGCATTATAATTGCTTTTACGATTTCTTTTTTCTTCGTGTTAATGATTATGAAGTCTCAGCCTCCGTGTAAAAAGCTTTTTTCTAATTTAATCTCTTTGTTTCCAAAGATATATATCAAATATTTAAATATTAAAGATGTAAAAAACAGATGCTCAACAAGATGTTATAAATATTCCATTTTATCTTAGATGATATCAATGTACAATCCGAAGAAATTGTTTTTGAAGCATTCCTCTCCTGGATTGGTTATGATAAAAAACGACAGAATGATCGATTAGCACAATTATTTGGTTTAATAAGATTACCTTTAATTGATAAAAAAGTATAACTTTAACATGATTTTTTGCTTTTAGTAAATTAATTCTTGGGTCTCCTTCTTTTTTCAATAGTATCTAACTGATTATATTGATACAAATCAAATTTTTAAAGATGATTCTTTGTGTCAGATTCTCATTGTTGAGACAATGCGTTACCATTTAGCACCTGAAAAACGTTCCTCAATGCAATCAATAAGAACTAAACCAAGAAGATCAACACTTGGCTCTCTATATTGTCTTGGCGGGATGGATAGTGCTAAAGGTAAAACAAATATATATATATAAATATTTGAAGTGTTTGGTTTAATGATTTATTAAACGAATGTGAGCGTTTAAAATTAGGTCCACAGACTATTGAACGATACGACTTTCGAACTCGTTCTTGGCAACCTGATGGCCATTTGAATACTCGTCGTTGGCAATTCGCTTGTGTTATCTTGAATAAGAAATTATATGTATGCGGAGGACGAGATGGTCTCAAAACGTCAGTAAATTTTTATGAATATTATAATAAATATATATATACTGTTTTGTTTCTTTTTTGATTGTTATTTTATAGATTAAATAGTATAGAAATATTTGATTTTCAAAAGAAAGCATGGAATGTTGGGCCACCCATGCTTACTAATCGTCATGGCTTAGGTGTTGGATGTATTGGTGGACCATTATATGCCATTGGTGGTCATGATGGATGGAGTTTTCTTAATACAGTTGAGCGTTTTGATCCAGAAACTTGTGTATGGTCATATGTTGCATCAATGGCTAATGTACGATGTTCACTTGGTGTTACTGTACTTGAAAATCGGTAACATTTAATTCATCGAATGAAAAACTCTTTTATTATAATAGGATTATTGTGAAATAAAATCCGATTATAATTGAGAAATTTTTCACTAAGTAAATATTATTTTATTTCTTTTTTGAAGAATTTATGCTGTTGGAGGTCGAGATGGTGCTGCAGGCCTTCGCGAAGCAGAATCTTATGATCCGCATACCAATCGTTGGTCACCATGTGCAACAATGCAGAAACGTCGAGGAGGTGTAGCTGTAGCTGCTTGTAATGGATTTTTATTTGCGATAGGTGGTCATGAATCATCAGCAACAAATAAATGCACTGTTCGTCATGATGATGGTGAACGTTATGATCCAAGATGTGATCAATGGACATTGATTACTTCATTAAATCGACCTAAAGAAGCTTTAGCTATTGCTGCAGTTAGTGATAAATTATATATTGTTGGTGGTTTTGATGGAAAAGTGGTTGATGAAGTTGAAAAATATGATCCAGAAATAGATAGATGGACGAAAGTAACACAAACACGACTTTTATTATTCTTTGATACAAATAAATATTGAATATGCATTTTAGTGTCCATCTTTGGGAACAAAAAGAGCTGGTGCTTGTCTTATTCATGTTTCTAATTCTATTCATCAATCATCATTACCAACATCACCATCACCGTCCTCTTTTTCATCATTATCTTTACTTTCTACAAGTTCTTATACTTTATCGTCAGCAACATCTTTTTCTAAACGAAACAAAGATGTATCAGCTAGTTGTCATCAATTAAGCCGTCTTGTTCTTTCATAGGATATTTTTATTAGCTCAAAGCGTTTGTTCATTTTTATAGTTTTTGATTCTATTACATAAATGTAGCACTACTTTTTCTATTTCTTTTTTCTCACATTAAAATGATGACTTCCTATCTCATATTTATTAAATTTATAGATGATTTGATACACTTGTATTGTCTATCATGGAAGTTGGTTCTTTTTTTTTCTGTTCTTCTTTGTTGAATTTTTTCTTGCATTAAGAATGATGATGAATATTAATAGGATTTTTTTTTCGTAGATAAAATGACAGAATCTATTGCACCACCGGATACAACTGTTTTTGGAGATCATGAACGACCAAAAAGAATATTTAAAATTATTGTTATTGGAGATTCACACGTTGGTAAGAATATCGAAATCGTTTAAAAATGAGAGTTTACATTCATTTTCAGGTAAAACATGTTTGACATATCGGTTTTGTTCAGGAAAATTTCCTGAAAAAACTGAAGCAACTATTGGTAAGATTTTGTGATTAATCATTAATAATACATATTTGCTTAATTTTTTTTTGTAAGGTGTGGATTTTCGAGAAAAAACATTGGAAATCGATGGTGAAGTATTTAAAGTATGTCAATAAATGAGAATTATATATTCAATAATTAAAAGTCATTTATCTTTTTCTTTAGCTTCAAATTTGGGATACAGCTGGACAAGGTAAGTCTACAAAAGGGAAAGAAAAAAAGGTTTTGCCTTAAGTTCGATTATTCGTTTGTTGTTGTATTTGATTAAATTTTTCATTATAATCGTTAATAGAAAGATTTCGCCGATCAATGATCAATCATTACTATCGAAATGTTCATGCTATTGTCTATGTTTATGATGTTACGAATTTGGCTTCATTTGAAAATCTTCCTGGATGGATTAATGAATGTGATAAACATGTACTCGATCAAGATTTACCACGAGTTTTAGTTGGCAACAAATGTGATGTACCAACTGATGAGGTTGTTGTACCGAATAGCGTTGCCCAACGATTTGCTGTATATATTTATATTTAAAAATTATAAAGTATTTATCAAATGTTTTTATTTCCTCTAGGATGCTCATAATATGCCATTGTTTGAGACATCAGCTAAAGCAGATGAACATCAAGATCATGTCAATTCAATATTTATGTTAATTGCACATAAACTTAAACATTCAAAACCACTTATGTCACAACCAAAGTTATATGCACATCGTAATGTTTCAATAACATCATCGTCATCATCACCTACATCGTCTAACGATCCGAATTATTGCATGTGCTAAACTTTACAAAGATATCTATGAACTACTTTTATCAAAAATTTAAACAAATAACGCAAAGTATTTGTAAATGTGCGCGTATGAGCCATATTCATTCATTATCTTTGTCTCACTCGCTCGCTTCATATATATATATATAATAACATAGATATGTACTAATCATTCTTTTTCTATTTCATTCCCATTATTTATTACTAAGTCGAGTATATATGTATTTTTTTTGCTTCAATTGTTGTTACTATTGCTGATATGATTGGGCTTTGTGTTCAACTGTTTGTTTAAAATGGAAGGGATTATTTCGCGAACGAGTGACATTTCTATCAATACTGTGTTATATTTAATCTTATAAAACATTTAAAAAATTTAATATAAATATTACGCTTTAAAGGTTCTTATTACTCTTTCATCTATGTCTATTGATTAGCAAACGTGAAAAGTAAGAAAGATCAAAATTTTACATACCTATCTATTGAATAAAATAAAACAAAAGCAATCAACATGGATTCTTATTCTTTTATAATTTGAAGATGACCGAAGTTGGTGGATTTAGAGCACAAAAGAAGGCGAAATAGTATCTGTTAATGATATGTGAAAGAAATGATTGTTAAAATAATTTGTCATCATGCTGAATAAAGAGTCAAACATCAGGCGTGAATTATTGTAATTGTATATCAGCGAAACTAAACATAACAATAAGAAACTTGAATATATGGACCAAAATGAGACATGATTATCTTTCATTTGATCTTGATTCTGTTGTAAGGTGGTTATTTTTTTGAATAAGTTCTTTAACCAAAAATGTACGTAAAAACCTGGACTCTTCCAGTTACCAGTTCATTAAAGTTAATCCGTTAATTAATTAAAATGTAATTAGTACATATCTCTCTTATCTTGTGACAAAAATTCCACACATTACAAAATAGATTCTACGTCCGAAACTATGTATGCGATGAAATGTTCAGCAAAATTGGACTTCAAATAACTGGCTCCCTAAAAAGATTAGCTCTCCAGAGGTCTTATCATCTTGTGGAACGAAAATTTTTGTTCCGCTATTAATCTAGAGATCTTCAAACAAGATATGAACCAGGTAGAATTGATGTTGCAACTTCTCATTCAGTCACATGAGGATTTTTACTATTCTATATTCATCCTTCTTGACATCAACAATGGTAGTTTTTCAGTGATAACTTCTCTGAATAAAGAGTATCCTCGAGCTGTTTTTTTTTCAAGATATTTAGAATAATTTGATTTGTGCATGAAGTACAAAAGTTAGTTCGAGGACAGTTCATTATTCAGCGATATACGTTTTTTATTTTCGCAAAGCCATATAGCTAACGAATGAAATCGCCCACATATAACTTTGTTAATAGAATTTCTTCAACAAAAAACTGATTTAATTCTCAGCTTTGTAAAAAGATTCAAGATAACTTTTCTTAAAACGATATTGATGAATTGGCATTTGCAATCGTACGGAATGTTGTGGACGAAAACATCTTCAATAATTCAAATCAATTTAATTCCGTAAGTTGAATTTTAGCTTGATAAATATAAAGCCAATAAAATAAATTTTGATTTTCTAAAAGAATATTCATTTCTCATGTTTCCATATCGGTGAAAGTTGACATTCACAATAGATACACAAAAGCTCTAAATCTAGTCTACGTTAGAGTTTTAATTTTTTAAATATTATTGTTACACAAATACGAAAGTTTTACTTGGAGAAAAATTTATCGATTGAATATTTTTAAAGAAACATAATAATAAATTGTCTGTCAACATTTATATATCTTCTTTCGATTTTAATTTTATCACTTGCTAAAATAAATCGCATTTTTTTTCGTATGAGGCGTTTCATTCGAAATCTCATCTGTAACATGCAAAAATCTTAGTCGGTTAGTTGTATTTAGATAAAAAAAAGAAGTGTAACCAGATTCGGAAAGACGATAGTTATCTACCAAGCCATTTATTAAGTATAAAAGTCAATTTATTTTTCATAAAATTAATTTGTACGTTTTAATTGCAAGCTTGTCTGTTCCTAATAATTTCAAAAAAAATTTTGATTTTCATGCAACTTGTATCTCTATAACAATAATACTTAAAAATCTGAAATTCTAGCCTAGCCTACATCCAAATATGTATTGCATTTAATTGTCAATGCTAGTCTCGAATTTGTATGGAAACATGCAAGAAAAGAATATTGCTAGATGGAATCACGTTTTATTTTACACGTTTTACGCATTGAGTCAATGGATGTTTGTACTTTTATCTGTACTCATGCACCACAAAGACAGAAAATTTGAATAAAATACATTGAAAAAGAAGAAATGGGTGAAATATGATCATTTCTTTTATCGAATCATTTCAGTGTTAGAACTCGAAGTCTTCGGTTCCTTCTTTAGTAATAAGATTTGTTCTCCTTGTTCCATAGCTAATCGCCGATCAGAAAACCAACATATTATATATAAAATTGAATCAATAACATAAACAAAATCACCAAGAATAACAATAATTTGTGTTAATGGTGCACTAATAATAATTAATGCTAACACATAGAGTAACGATCCTAACAAGTTTAGACTATTAGCCCAAGAATATAAAATACTCGATCCAGGAACTATCATATTTATTGCTGCACCAATTGCAAAACCACATACACCAATTCTATTACATATTAAAACTGTACTTGAACTTGTGAAAGCTGTCGCTGCAAATAATGCACCAAGAAAATAAGCATGACTTCCGACTTTATCAAATATACAAGAGACAATCATAGCAATATATCGATCAGTATTACTGTCAATATTATAAACTGCTAATAATTCCAAAGTACAGTCAATTACGAACACACCTGCAAGAATGGCATAGATTACAGAGGATAACGATGAATTGAGGGTATTTGGATACATATAATCAAATCCATCCATTAAAAAATAACCAATCATACCAAAAGTAAATACAATGTTGACCCAAAATGACCAGAAAAGAGCACGAGTAGGAAAACAATTTTCATCCATGTATAATTACTCTATGTCAATCTGGAAAAGATTTCATTTTTTTGCTTTGTTTTTTACATGCAAGAAACGTCACAGCTGGCGCTACACTTATGCACCATAATAAGGATCCATTCTAGTATTTTATTTTCTATTATATTATCAAACGTAGGCGACTACATAATAATAATAATATTTGAAATTTTTATATTTAAATAGCTTCGAAGAAACCTCATCGACTATTGGCACATGAGTAATTTTCAATTTTTACTTAAGTTAGCACTAAATTGACTTGCGCACACACACTAACAGACTGAAATATTTTTGCGCAAATATATAAAAAAGCTTATAGATGGGAAAATATGGACAAATCCTTTTATTGAAATATTCGTAAATAAGTAAAAAAAACTGTTATATATGTGTGCAGTGAAAAAAGTAAATTTTGTATAACGAAAGCATATGAATATTCTAATGGAACATATTTTGTTATATATTAGTGTGAGTAATGAGCATTATTTGTAGAATTACATTTAGACCATCGATAAATATTATCGCAAAATATATTTTATGTTTTTTGTAGTTAGTTATGTGACCGGGCTTGTTTTTATAAGAAATAGTTCGTATGTTTTTTTTAACTATTTTTGCTCATTAGAAGTACTCTAACCCATGAGTCATTTTTTTTATTCATTGTTCTCTCAAAATTAGATCTTCAAAGCAAATTTTTCGGTGAAGATTACTAATGTTATACTTAGGGATGCAACGGTGACGATAACCGTAGGTATGGTTACCAGTCCAACCACGGTAACCATACTTACGGTTACTCATCTAAGCCGGTTTTCATGAAGGAAACGGTTTTTTAAGAAAATAACGATTTTTTATAAAGGTTGACAAAAGTAAATCGGGGTCGGAGAATCCGAATCCGAAGTCAATGTTTCCAAATTTTGAGTTCGATTTTCAACATAAAACGTTTTCTATAGGAAAAAAATCATTTCTCCTTGGAAGAAATTTTCTAGGAATAGCACGACTTTGAGAACGAGATTTTTATGCTGGGAAATCGGACTCAAAATTTCGAAAAACTGGCTTCAGATTCGGATTTTCCGACCCCGATTTACTTTCATCAGCTTTTATGAAAAATCGTTGTTTTCTTAAAAAGTAGTTTCTTCATGAAAAGCGGCTTGGGTCAGTAGCCGTAGGTACGGTGACCGTACGGTACGGTCACCGTTGTTGGAGCGGTAACTATATCTACGGTTCTCGGATTGGACCGGTGAAACGGTAAAGGTATACCGGTGAATGATCGTCACCGCTGCATTCCTAGTTATTCTCGATACTAAACGGATACTGGAGAAACGTGACAAAGTCTATTTCTTTCTTAGAACAACGGAATCATCGTTTACCAATATCATCATACGACTTCTGATACAGCTGATGAGATTACTTACATAGCTAGCAAAACAAAATCATATATTTAGCTACTGACGCTGAATAGATGCGAAATTAGAAAGAAAGATCATGCTAAAATATTTTTATTTCTTAATCAACTTTATGCATGGAGCCTATATCAGATGCATTATGCATAATAGTACTTCGCTACTTTCATTTCAGTGAAACTCTTTATTCATTTGACAATGTAAATAAAGGCGTTTTTTTAACGATAGATTGGATCATATTTAAACAATATTGATTCAAGTCATACACCGTATAAATTATGTAACATATTTTGTGTAGACATTGTTCATTTATGAAGATGTATTATTCGATCATTGATTTTAAAAGATACAAAGTAGTTTAAATTGGAGTGGATATGAATGTAGGTAATGAAAACAACAAAATTCTATTAGTGTGAGTGTTCCATTGATAAGTTATTGTAAAGGTACATGAATTTGAAATCTTTAACATACTGGCTGTCCTATTTGAGAGGTATAATCAACTGATTGTCGACATCATTGATAAATGCTATATTGATCTGATCGAGGAGTCCATTCAACAACATAATATGAATGTTGCTATCATATGAATCTTTTTTAATGCGGTTGGAAGTAGAGGATTTCCGTAGTCGGTCGCGTGCGTATTCAGTCTCTATACTTGACATGTTTTTCGCTATAATAAAATCTCTACTTTGCATCGCTAGAACCTCGTTCACACTTCATCCGAGAAATCGATATCTCGATATGGCACAAATGTTTTTGAATCGTCCATATAAATTTTCGTTCGCTTTGAGTAAATTCCGAAAAAAGACGATTTTAGCTCCATCTTTTACCCGAGATAATTAAAAGTGGAGTGCTAGACTTCAGTCAGTTAAATCGGCAGCTACTATGAGCAGCAGAGATAATGAAAAACTTCCAACAAGACAAAATCGAATCTAGGTGAAATCGTTGTTATGTTAAATTCAAGCGTCATTGCCAAAAATTAAGATCATGTCGCACCGCATTTAAATAGTCCTTTGTAAGTTTCTTTTACTTTTTCTAATTTGCTAGACGTACGCATCGAAAATTATTGTTTTCGGCGCTGATGGCCTCCAAAACGAAAAGTCAAAAACAAAACGCTAGTTCAAACGTGAAGATAAAATTTCATGATCGAATCTATACCATTCGCTTTCCAATCCTTGACATAACGTTTCATTTTCTTTAGAAAAAGCCACCTAAAAAGACATGTATCTGTCTAATTTGCTGTTGTTCAAGCTTCGAGATCATTGCAATCATGAAAAACTGACTTATTCATTGTCAGCTGTATAAATCGTATAAGAAATTAAGCGATAAAATTCATAGAATTTTCTAAAAACATGCTGATACGTGTTGATAGAGTTCTCGTAGTAATGCATTTTGACATGTCTGCTTTACCATTCCTTTTCTATTTCGATCACTTGATTTGTCAAAACATAGATACGTCGAGTTTCTGATAAGAGCGATACGAAAGGAACTCATTACTTGGAATTATAAATATATATGGGGCTGGTCATCGTTGTGTAACGAATCATTGCAAAGATTATTCCTTTTCTTGCCAGATATTAATTTTTGTCGATGATCGACATTTGTAGTTTCTCACGGCATTTCGAAATTGAGAGAAACTCAAATGCCATCTAATTTTTTCTTAACGCACAGGTCTAACCTATTTTATGTTGCGATGGCATAAAGATCTGATGGTCGTACGATTTTGGTTCAAACATTGTTATGAAATTCCATGTTCCTATTATGAAAACGAGTTTCAGCAACAATAGTGGTTAGATCAAATACTTCCCTTTGCTAAGTAACTTTCTAATTTCGTATACTGATAATCACTGTTCAACTTAGGGGTGTCGGCTTAGCATTAGTGTTAAGAAAACCCTAACGCTTTTGCATTAAAAATAGTATTAATTAATGCAATGCTAATGCTAATCTGACACCCCTAGTTCAACTCTTGTATATGGGTGTTAGGATTCGGCCTCACGAAGAGCGATGAACACAGTTAAAGATATATTTTCTTCTCTCTCTGTTTATTCTTTTTGAAAAACAATGTTTATATACGCACATGAAAAACAAGGAAAAATAGAAAAGAATACACGGTTTAATCAAGGTCAAAGAAAAGAACTAACAGAAACGAAATAAAGAAATGATTAAAGAGATGAGAATAGAGAGGATCGAGGTATATGTTATAAGAATACACTGTAACAAGGGATTATACTAATTTTATCAATTCCGAAACATAAATTCGTTGTTGATAACAATAATCTATATCGTCATTTCGCTATGAAACTAACTGGATCTTGAAAACATAGGAAAAGCTAGTTCCTACCAAGGAAAAACGATGTCCATTGTTTCAGTATATTTATTTAAACAGCATGCTAATGCTAATCTAGTTGTAAAATTAGGTGATGAGGCAAATAAGACAGCACCATAAAGTATCACAATCGTTACTGGGTTTTATGAATTTCAGCGAAGCAATTTTAGTATTGAAGATGCTGCCAGTTCAAGTCATCATTGAATACCTGCCAACGAACAAGCGCTTGATGCTGTATAAACAGTAATTAAAAATGATCCTCATTCAATATACGAACAAAAAGAAGACATTTAGGATGTTAGCTCGCTAGCAATCAATTCAATTATTCATTATTATTTGAAATTACACAAAGTTTGTGCTCTGTGGATACTACACTAGTTAACCGATGACTAAAATCAATATCGTAATCAATTTTATTTTGATTTTCTGAAGCGATTTGAAGAAATTCCGTCCTGGCATGAGTTTGACATTGTAAGTGGTGATGAATTTTGGTTCTACATTATGATCCAGAAACAAAAGAGCTGTCAAAAGTTTAGATGTCAAAAACTGATGCGCGCCTAGCCAAAGTTCATCGACACAAAAGCTCAGGCGAACGATTGGTGGCTATTTTCCTTATGAAATCTGGTTTAATCACGTCCATGCCATTAGAAAATGGTGTAGCACTAAATGCAAGCTGGTATGTCAACGCATGTCTACTACAAATCTTTACAACTGTATTACAACGAAGACAGAAGAACGGTCTTCGAAACCTCTTTCTTCACAATAACAATACAAGATCCCATCGAGTTTGAATCGCTGTCGACGTTTTAGCAGAAATGCATGTAGAGCTGTATCCAAATCCTCTAGTTTCTCTAGATCTAAGTCCCTACTACTTCTACTTGTTCCAAAAACTCAAAAATTATTTGTGTGGCGTTTAGTTCAGTCAACGACAACAACGCAACGTTAATTGCATTGGAAGTTATTGGCAGTATCACAAAAGAAGACTTCGAAAACCGCTTCGAAGGCTGGTTTATTCTAATTTACAAATACATTGATGCTAAAGAACAGTACTTTGAAAAACAGCATTCGCATCAGCCTTGGAATATTTATCCTAAGAGATGGCGAAAAAACTTTTGTAGTGCCTAATGCAATCACCAACTATCGTCAAGTAAGGTATAGGTCTGAACAGATCTAAACGAATAAAGTCATAGAATTGTTACCATCGAGAATATATAAATATATTGCAAATCTTATCATTAATTCAATGTATGTAAAATTATTTCCAGATCGTAGGTTGTTTAATAAATTGTTTATAAATGATGTTAGTAGTGGGTTTATTTCGTTGTTATTTCTCCAGAATATTATATTGATACCATCTGATTAGCGATTTCAAGAGAGGAGGATTCCCAAGAAACTCATTAGTTACATATTTTTGTTGAGTTTCATTGTTTTCACTCGGTGTTAAAATTCCTGTTCTTATTTTAATTTGTTTTAATAATTTGATACTGTATGATAAATCATTTTTTGAACATCGGGTTTAACAATATATTGTTCAGTTTTAGATTTGAAACATGATTCAATTCTAATGGCATCAGTTTATTTTAATTAAATTTTCGAAATATCTAAATATGTCAACTTTGGTTGATAATTATTGTGCGATATTAATCAATCGCAAGTTTAAAGTGTAAATTACATGATTACCTGCTATTAAGTTGATAATAGCAAAGAAGTCGTCGTGCGGATGTATAACGATGTCTTTTGCTAAAACTGATGTACATAGTGCTGAATATCATGACTTTGGTGTGGATGTAAAGAAGTTATTCAATGATCTACATTCAAATATCTATACTTGTACACTACATATGATGCTAAGTGTTGTATTACCATTTCGATACCTTCTATGAGCTTCTCAGAAACTTATTTTTTTGCACTTTATTGGGAAGGGGGTATAATACGCATTTCCAAGGGTGTGGTGCGACTTCTTTCGCGGCATCCACATCCCAAAAGATGGCCCGTATATGTTTTAGCTTATCACCCTACATTTTATTGATGAAAACTACTTTGGTTGGCAAAAAATTCTTTTATACACCATCATTTGATTTCCGAAAAGCCATAAACTTCCCTGGAAACTTGTACAAGACATCATATATGTATTATGTGACAATCCCAACAATACTCATGAACCAAACGAATTCTTTTATGGACATTATTTCTGTTTCTACATATTTCTAGTCGGGCGTTTGATCTAATATGTTTCCGCTTTTTATTTAATTTTTCCTGAATAAGTATATTTTAAAATATTTTTTAATGCTATACCTTATGCCATTTTCTTTCTTTTACATCGTCAATCTTTGCAATGTTATACCGTTATTTATGAAAAAACAAGGAATTAAAGTCATAACATTGAGAAATAAAAATTCGACTTAAATAATAAAAGCTTCAACTAGCCCGAAGTGAGGGCAAGTAGCTTAAAGTAACTTTGAAGTAGTTGAAAGTAACCCAAAGTGACTCAAGATATCCTTCAAGCAGCTGTAAGTAACTTGAAATCTAAAGGTACGCATTTTTCTCTAGTCTTCAATACACAATAGAAACAGAAAAAAACAGAAGGATGAGAAAGCAAAACATAATGACAGAAGATAAAGAGAGAGAAAGGGATAGTAGATATAGTTGCCCTGCATCCGTCTAGACTATATAATAATGAAGATGACGTCAAATATTTTCTGTCAGAATGCACTTAAGGGTGTGGATGGGTGTGGGTGTGGGTGTGGGTGTGGGTGTGGGGTGTGAGTGTGGGTGTGTGTGTGTGGTGTGAGTATGATTTCTTTCTTTATCAACGTCCCACACCCACCCCACACCCACCTAGATATGGCACTTTAACTTTAACTTTACTTTGATAAAGTGGTTAAAGTTTAAAGTCTGACTTTAACTTTAAGAGTTAAAGTTAAAGTAAAGTACTTTAACTTTAATGTTAAAGTTAAAGTAAGAACACT